GATTCCCTTCCACCAGCTGTGCGTAGTACCCTCCAAGTAGTGCACAACTATGTCCTTCTTATAACCCTCAGGACAACGGATATATTCAAAGTTCTTCTCCAGTCTCATCCTCCACTCATCAGCCTCAATAGGCGCAGAACCTCCAGCAAAGAACTTGGTTCCTAGCCTCCCCATATGATCCAGAACCTTGAGGTAAGAGGGAATCACCACACCCTGATCCGCTTCCCCAGCTCCATCGACAACTGCCGGTTCCACCACTTGTGGTGCCACTGCCGGTGACACTATCGGCGCAGGCGCAACCACTGGTAAACGCTCCAACACTTGAGCCAACAGCCCCAAAACAGCCTTCAACCCAACCTGTTGTACTCCCGCAGTATTCCCTGCCACGTTCCCAGCATTGGCCGCAGCCACATTCGCAGCAGCAGCCGCAGCCACATTCGCAGCAGCAGCCGCCACATTCGCAGCATTTGCAGCTGCATTCACTTGCTGGTCCCCGACCAGATTCTCAGTTCCAGAACTCTCAGTGTTCTCATCACCATTCACTTGTGCTCTTGCAGCTCTCTTTCTCGAAGCCATCTGCCAAACAGAAAAACCGGTTAGCCCGAAGCTAACCCCAAACAAGAGTTTCACACTCTATAGAACAACATACTGCGAGACCCTTGCAGTGAAAAGGTGGATATAATCTAACCCCAACTATGCAAATGACCTGTCCTAGGATCGATCATGCTCTGATACCAACTTGTGAGGACCCGACCATCTATCACTAGACCTGCCTGAACCTCACCGAGTCTTCTCTCGGCCAGAATACAAAAACGTGCATATCTTAAAAACATTTCTTAAATTTAAACAAGTTCGATTCATCAAAAGACATCCATTCTCATTGTATAGTTATTCTAGAAATACTTAAAAGAATTTGGATTCAATAACATAAACTAAACTTATCAGATTTGGTTTAACTTAGAAAGCACTAACACAAGTACTTAAATAGAAACTCAAATTCAGAACATGAATCTCAAAACCCAGTCCTAATCCACACCTTCTCTTCACTGTCTTCCAGTCCGCCTTCGGAGCTACTCGCCCTGGACCTTATCCTTACCTGCACAGTCAAAAAGAGAGGCATAAGTATTTGATAAATACTTAGTGAATACGGTCATCCCGTAAAACCTTAGCCAGTATCAGAAAACACATCATACTATCTGTTATATAATTCACATTATCACTTAGCAAGCAAGCACAGAAAACAGTACGGTCCTATGATCATCTCAACTACTTGTGAAGCCTCACAAGGCATCGGTTCTGATCCAAGCGAGAATCACACATCCCCTTGAGCTAGTAACACGAACCGGACATTCACACAGCTAGTTAGACACCATGTATTGACCACGGTTCACATTTAACCATTCACAATCACATAAACATTAACCGTGCTAAGCAGAAACCACTAACTTACACAAGCAATCAAGGAAAATCAGATAACCTACCAATCAAACGATTCTAGATACAGACCACAGTCACGCACTCACCTTAGACACCTAAACAATTGTTTCAGTTGAATGAATCTCGGTGATTTCTCGATCAGAAACTGAGATAGTCGGACACACTTGCGATTTCTCGGTTATCGCTCAGACTGGTCCGGCAAAATCTCAACACCTCTCGGCTATCTCTCAACCCGTGCACTTTTTCTCGGGCAAGAATCTGTATTCCCTCAGAAACAGTACAATTCAGATCGATCAGTCCAGTGTTACTCGACAGAAACTCAACAGAAATCAGAATAGCCGAACACTTACCAGATTCTCTCTGACGAATCAAAATGTTCTCGGATATCTCACGATCTGCTCAGAAATCCTCGGATAAACTCGGTGATTCCTCCAGAAAATCCCCAAATCAGAGCGAATAATCTGATCAGATTGACAGAAACACAGACAGAACACTCGATCTCTCGGTGATAGTCGGAATCGCCGGCAAAACTTTGATCTCTCTCGGCTAACTCTCGTAATAATCAGAATCTCTCGAATAATCTCTTGACTAATCTCTCTCTCTCTCTCTCTCTCTCTCTCTCTCTCTCTCTTTCTCTCAAAAAGTGCAGCTCTCCCGAAAAAAGTCACAGAAATCCACTTTTATACTCGCAAAACCTAGATAGCCCGGTTATAGCCGGCATCTCTTGGTTCCAGTCAGGTTTATCCCGGTTAGATTTAAGTTCTCTCGGCTATCGCCTAAACCGCTCGACCATCCATGCGAGAAATTAGTTTTTATCCGACCAATAGGGCGACAAAAAGAAGTATTCCCAGAGGAATGTTTCCCGAAGGGTGAGTCTTGGAAGGCGATCCCAGAGGATGTTCCCCGGAGGGGGAGCCCCAGATGGTGATCCTGGAGTATGATCCCAGAGTAAAGTTTACCAGAGGGGAGGGCGAGCCTCGGAAGTCAATCCCAGAGGATGTTCCCCAGAGGATGAGCCCCAGAAGGCGCTCCTGGAGGATGTTCCCAGAGGAAATTTCCCTTGAGGGCAAGCCCCTGAAGGCGATCCTGGAAGACATTCTCAGAGGGAAATTCCTCGGAGAGGGATCCCCAAAAGGCGATCTCAGAGTATATTCCCAGAGGAAAGTTCCCTGAAAGGCTACCCTGGAAGATATTCCCGAAAGAAAGCTCCGAGGAAGGCAATTCCAAAGGATCGAAGAGAAGCCCCCAAAAGAGGTAATCCCCAATTTTCGAAGGAATATTCTCGAAAGAACGAGCAAGCAATACAATAAAACAAGTAAAGGAGTAACCCGAGTAGTAATTGCGTAAATCATATGAAGGTGTGTGTGTGCATCCTAAGTGGAACAATGCCAAGCCCTTGAGATAAAAAAAAAAATATACCTAAGAGGTATGTTTTTGAGGAGAACATATTGCGATTCCGAATGGTATTATTTGTTGCATTTGGTTTGATACTCCTCTTCTTCTAGCGCCAATTATTCGGGAGCATTTTACAGGATGCTTGAGGAGGGTATGTGTTTGTCAGTATGAGATAAACGGAATAACAATAGAGCCTAGGGTAGGAGCTCCATCCATTGGGGAACAAATAAAACCAATGCATGTAGCCGTATGAAGGGCCAATATCTCCTTGTACGCGGGTTGAGATAGGCTTCAAGGAGGTAACAAGGCTCCAGACAATAGAGGCTGTCTGACAGGACGAAGGCGGCTTGACAAGGGCTGCCTAACAAGGGCGACCTGATGGGGGTGACCTAGAGGGAACTTGCTGGGGTAGTCTAATAGGGGCTGACTGCTGTCTCCCGGAGGGATTTCTGGGGGCCTCCAAGGAGTTTGCTGGGACAGTTTGGCGGAGGCAGACTGCTGTCTCCCTAGGAGCTTGCTGGGGACCTCCTGAGAGCTCTTTGGGACTGTTTGACGGGGGCAGACTGCTGTCTCTCCGAGGGTTTGCTAGGGGGCTCCTGGGAGCTTGCTGTGATAGTCTGATGGGGGTATACTCCTATCTCCCAACAGCCAACTGGGGGCTTCCTAGAAAATTGATGGGCAGTCTGGCGGGGGCAAACTGCTGTCTCTTTGGAGCTTGTTAAAGCCTCTTCGAAGCTCGTTATACAGTCTGCCAGGGGCAGACTGCTATCTCTTGGGAGCTTGCTGGAGCTTTCTGAGAGTTCTTTGCTCAGTCTGACGGGACATACTACAAGCTCGATGGACAGTCTCACATGGATTGACTACTGTCTTTCGGGAGTATGCTAGAGCATCCTGGAAGCTTGCTAGATTAGTCTGGACGGGGCGGTTTGATGGAGCTACGTTATCCGAAATGCAAAAGAACGTTTACGAAGTCTTTAGAGGTGATTGGAAAGGGGGTTTTCCTCTCAAAAGAGCTCTGATGCTCAAATTAAAATAGACCACAAGACTGAAAGAAAAACCAGAGAACAAAAATATGAAAAAAACCAATAAAAATATAATTTTGGGGAGTAAAAAGGATCTCTCCATGTGTGATTTTTGTGAGTGGAGGAAAATTTTTTTTGTGAGAGAGAAAGATGGTATTTATAGAAAATACCTTAGATTTTTATGTTTCCAAGAGATGGGTCCCTGCTTCACTTAGATAAGAGTGATTTTTGCACACGCGTTTTTCGGAGATGGGTCGTATGCAAAAATTATGGAGCGCGCTTCTCCGGAAGTGATCCCTAACATAGGTTTACAATTCATCCCAACAGTTATGTATATATTTCTATGTACAATACTTGCCTTTGATTCTATACAGCAGGTTTGACCACATATATTTTCTATAAATATTTATGAAATTTCATTTGAGAAAACCAACTTTTATCATTATTTTTGGAAAATTTGAGGTATTCTCATATGAATTTTTGTAACTTTTAATCATGGTGTATAATACTTATTAATTAATCAAAACTGATTGTTTGGTATGTCATATCTAACAATTATAATTTCATCCGTCTTAATGTATCATATTCAAGGGATCATTTGGAATATATCAAGGGATCATTTGGAATATCATGAGTCTTTTACAACTTCTATGCGACCATTCAATCAATCACATTATTCTTCAGACCTTCAAAATCTAATGTTTATCTATTCGCCAACTTTTGAATGAATAATTCCTGAGAGGATTATATCATCTTCTAACTTGCAAATCTCATTCTAACTTTATTCTCTAACTACGTCAAAAACTAAAATACCATGTAAATTATCAAAAAATCCGAAAAGGTCATTTTACAACTGCGTGATAAACTCTATTTGATCATTAGAGGTGGTTGCGTTGTTCATTTTATTTTTGGTTTTGTATATATATCTGATACCAAGGCTCACAAGTCTCAATCATAAAACAGAAATAATTTACGTTGGTAAAGAGAGGGTAAACCTTAACTTCAATAATAATCTTTGATTACTACATTACATGTTCTTGAACAAATATAGCGAAGTTACGATTTCCTCCGATATATTATCTTCTAATTTTTATTACAAGGCATGTTCTATTAATTGATTTTGTGAATATATCAACTTCGGTACTGTTAAGCCCCAAGCTTTTTGGTAATCACACTAATTATTCCATATAATTTAGAAACATTCGTGTTATATAAAGTGAGAGGAGAGATTTGTGGCGGACCACCCCTTTTCCATCCGTTTTCGCAGTTGGTCACAATGTTCGCGCCATCTCTCGCTAGTATGTTCGCTTCTGAAAACGATTTGTTTAGTGCCTTTTCCCAAGCAGTTTGGAACCTAGCCCTAGCGGTTACATAATTCGTCTTGCAAACATTGATCCGTCTCTTCCCGTTTGGACCAGAGAAATTTTGATCGACATTCTTTAGATGTGTCGTTGCGTCGTCCACTTGCATCTTTAATAGAGTTATCTGATTAAATTTTCAATCATAAACAAAAAATTATATTATATTTTATCAATATAAAGTACAAAAATGTTAAAATTGTACGGTCTATATATATATATATATAACACCTATATTTTACATTTACCCTATATAGCATGCTACTGCTTAACTAGAAAAATAACTATATTAATAAAAGTTATGTATATACTCACAAAATAGCTACAAAAAACCACAAAAACTACAAATAGTTAAATAATCATATAATATATAAAAGTTGAAGGCATAGTGCATTGAAGACGTCCACATGAGATTAAAAAACTCGATCTGATTGGTCCACATCAGCATATTCATTAAATAAAAAATGTTAAGTATGATCAAAACTTTAATTTCGTTTTAAAAATAGAAAAAGTAAATAAAAAAATTAACCAACAAATAGAAAAGAAAATTATGTTAAAAAACTAAAAAATAGTATCCTTAAAAATAAATTAGAATTTTGCTTTCAAAAGAGTTAAAATAACAAAAAAAAACAATAGCATAAAAGTTCAAACTTATAATATAAATTAGGAAAATTCTAACTTCTAAACTAATTGACAAGAAAATAAAAACATTGATTTCCTTTTATAGATGGAAAAATCAAAATAAAAAAGCTTAAGTAACAAATAGAAAAGAAAATTATGTTAAAAAAACCAAAAACTTAAATTAGTATATGTAGATAAAATATTCAAATCAAAGTATGCATATTGCACACAAAAGATAAAAACAGTGAAAAAGAATGCAAAGACTCCACACCACCGATCCTAGTTAGTTAGAAAACTAAAATTATAAAATATTAGACTGTAAAAAAAAAGATATCAATGAAAATTGAATAAAAATATAAGCTAAAACTCTTAGAAGACATGGTGGAGAAGAAAGAAATGGTTTTGCATGATCATAGCAGTTTCCTAATAAAATTAAATACGAATCAACATAAATCATAGATTATATATGCAGTGATACACAACATCAATAAGACTTTCAATAAAAAAAATACATATTTGAACACATAAACTTTTAAGAAAAAAAGAACTATATATATTCTCTGGTAAACAGAAAAATACCAATATGTTAGCAAAATTTTTTTTCTCTAAATTAGATGTATATGTACGTCAAAGTTGGATAATTCGATATGTGTCATTGTTATTATTTTACCTAATAATTTTTAAAATTTTATAAATAAAAATATGAGAAATTACACATTATTTATTAAATTATCTTATATAAATTAAAATTTCTATAAATATATTATAGTTTAAATAATTTAAAAGATAGTAGCTAAAAAAGAATTAAATCAAGCTATTAATACTGACTTGTGCGTAACGCGAGTTATATACCTAGTAGTAAAAATTATGTATATAATCACAAAATAGCTATGAAAAAGCCACAAAACTACAAAATAATTAATATAGCGAGGAAAAAATTAGTCACGAAATTATAGCCATATAAAGCTATAAATATGTTTTTTTTTTGGGGGTGGGGGGTGGTTCGTTACTAATTTATTTTGTGATTATTTTGGTTTTTTATGAGTTGATTTTTTTCGTACCTTTTCTATCGTTATTTAAAAATTAGTTATGGAAAATCTGTAATTATTTTATATAACAATAAGTTTTACTTGTATCCTAATTAAAATAATGATGTATCAAATACAGTATATAACATTACCACAATTACAAACACGCCGCTGAGATCTCCTGCGGCTCCTATTCGTGGATCCGTCTCGAGGAGTGTCGTTTGTTACTGAAAACATGGACAAAAACAACCATGGAGTATGTTTTTAATTTGTATTTTGGTCATGTTGAGAAACAAAAAAGTGTTGGGTGTGTTTTTTTTTTTTTGGTAACGGTGTTGGGTGTGTTTTGCTAAGGGAAATTGGGTCATATGACCATATTTTAAAGCTAAATTAATGAAATAACCATAACAAACTAGGTACTATGATATTCTTTGTATGTTCTATAATATATACAAAATTATCCTTTTGTTTTTTTCCCCTTATTCCTTTTTCCTCCGATCTTCTCTTCTCCTTTCATCTTTTCCCCCTTTAATCTCCTCTGCTCACCTACAATAATTTCATCTCCCTTCCTCCATTTCTCTTCCCCTTTTCTCTCCTCCCTTCCTCTCTCGTCTTCTTCCCTTCCTTTCTCTTTCCAATTTTTTTTTTTAAAATACTATATCAAATAGAGCTATTCCATAAATTGATATATAACATAGTATATAATACAATATAGTACAAGACTATTTTCGATAATTGATTGTGGGCCATGGTTAGTTTACTAATTTTTTAAATAGTATAACTATATTCTTCGATTGTTTTGCAAATATGGTTATTGAACAAAAAAACTCTTTTGCTAATGTGTTTCATTTTTTTTTTCGTTTTATATAAGAAAATTATAAGCTTAAAACAATAATGATGATGTATGGATAAGATTTTTTTTAAAAATCAAAAAGCTTTGCATCATGCATCTGCTAAAAAACAGCATAGACCATTGTTTTTGTTTTCTTTATTTATCAGATAATTAATATGGTATATATACTGTGAAACACCCCACAGAGGGGTGGGGAAACACCACAAGTTGTGGTTTTTTTTAAGAGTTTGAATTTTTTTTTTAATTCTACTATGTTAAGGATAATTCTCAAAAATATTCAACCTAATACCCATATATATACATGCTAATTCAATATATACATAATATTACTAATTTGTAAATTTCTCTTCATATTATTAGTAAAATTGTATGCTTTTATTTAATTTATTACGGATAAAAAATAAGAAACATTTAAAAACAATTAGATTTATATACAGTTTTGCTAAATTCAAAAATAACTTTTCAGATCCAAAACCATTTTAAAATATAAAAAAGATTAAAAAAATATAATAACAATATTAATTTATTAATAAACTTTCTAATCTAAAATAACAAGATCTATCATCACACTAATTTGAAGAGTTTATGATGTTTAATCCTTTAAAAGATAAATAAATATCAACTTACTCTTATAATTATAAGCTTTGTATAAATGATAAACCATGTATAAATTTAAACCAAAAAACAATATTATCAAAAAAATACTATCATCTATAATATAATTTTTTAAAATATCAATAAAAATTAGTACATAAAAATATATATTGTTATTAAATTATATTATGGTTCAATATCAGTTTTAAATGGATGGAATTCCTCTAACAATAACAAGAATTGTCAAAACAATTCTAACCATTAAAAGTATTAGGAAAAAACATGTATTTTGAATACTCACGTGAGTTTCTAAAAGCTCGAATATATGTTATAAAAGGCAAAATCTGTAATCCAAAAAAAACTCTAACATGTATAATACAATATTCGAGTAAAAAATTGATAAAATTATACAAGTAGGCATTATAAAAAAACTATAAAAATTATACGACATTTAGGTGAAAGAGTAGATATTGAGAATGACGAGAACAAGAGAAATTATGAGAAAGATAATGAATGTTAAGTTAAAATCGGATCAAAATATTATCGATATAGTTCAATATATTGTGTTAATGAGAGAGAGAGAGAGAGAGAGAGAGAGAGAGAGAGAGAGAGAGAGAGAAAATGAGTGCATAGTAGAATTACATCAAACATTATCGAAAACAGATCAATATTGTCTACAATGTGTTTCGAGAACCTTTATACGATATACAAAATTTAGTGTAGTATAAATAAATTTTGACTCAAAATTTAAAAGTGATAAATGTAAGTATAATATTTAATATATATTTTTAGATCCAAAAGTAACAAATGGGATTAAAATTAGATATTGCGACTCTATAATTTCTGTTTGTGAATATAAATATTAAAAAAATTAGATCTATTAATGATTAAGTAAATTGATATTTTGTGTTTACATAAAATGATATGTAAAATTCCGTGCGAAGCGCGGATTATCCACTAATATATATGAATAGGGAATAACCCTCTTCAACAGTTTGACACGTCACCACTTACAAATTGAATATGTGTCATGTTTTTTTCGCTTCGTCTTCTTATTCTCGCTTTCTTTTCTAGTGAATACGTACAATACATACGGGTTTTTATATTTTTAATCACTTGATAAATATAAATTTGAAAATCTGTATCAAACATAGCTTACTTAATCTGGACAACAATTCAATATTTTCATGAACTCCAGCTCTGAATGAATATATTGAATCCACATTTGTTCTACATGAATCTGAATTAAATTTTCCAACTGAAACCAAAACGAAAACCTAAGGAAAAGAGAGTAAAAAAAAAGTATTTAAAGTGGAAGAGCTTAGATGGTAGGAGAGTATTTAGTTGTGGATACAACATCGAAAATCTCTAAACAAATCACCTAAAAAAGATAAAACCACATTAGTTTATATTTCAGGTAAACACTAAGAAGACGTTGACCTCATGTTGGCATTGGCTACGAAGAATGATGGATCTTCTACACTTCGTTGAACAAACACACTCAAACACCACTGACGTTTTAATTAAACATTATCGAAAACAAATCAATATTGTCTACAATGTGTTTCGAGAACCTTTATACAATATAGTATAAATAAATTTTGACTCAAATTTTAAAAGTGAAAAATGTAAGTATAATATTTAATATATCTTTTTAGATCCAAAATTAACAAATGGGATTAAAATTAGATATTATGAATCTATAATTTTTGTTTGTGAATATAAATATTAAAAAATTAGATCTATTAATGATTAAGTAAATTGATATTTTGTATTTACATAAAATAATACTCCCTCTGATTCATAATAAGTGTCATTTGGAGAAAATGTATCTGCAATATATCTGGATATATTAAACTCAAAACACATCCAGATACATCCAGTTACAATGCATATACATTTTCTCCAAATGACACTTATTATGAAACGGAGGGAGTATGTAAAATTCCGCGAGAAGCGCGGATTATCCACTAGTATATATGAATAGGGAATAACCCTCTTCAACAGTTTGACATATCACCACTTATAAATTGAATACGTGTCATGTTTTTTTTCGCTTTGTCTTCTCATTCTCGCTTTCTTTTCTAGGTGAATACATACGCTACACACGGGTTTTTATATTTTTAATCACTTGATTAATCTGTATCAAACACAGCTTACTTAATCTGGAAAACAATTCAATATTTTCATTAACTCCAGCTCTGAATGAATATATTGAATCCGCATTTGTTCTACATGAATCTGAATTGAATTTCCCAACTGAAACCAAAACGAAAATCTAAGGAAAAGAGAGTAAAAAACAAAGGTGTTTAAGGGAAGTGGAAGAGCTTAGATGGTAGGAGAGTGTTTAGTTGTGGATACAACATCGAAAATCTCTAAACAAATCACCTAAAGAAGATAAAAGCACATTCGTTTATATTTCAGGTAAACACTAAGAAGACGTTGACCTCATGTTGGCATTGGCTACGAAGAATGATGGATCTTCTACACTTCGTTGAGAGTAAACACCACTGACGTTTTAATCATACATCAAAATAATAAAGAACTCTTTTACAAAGTGAAAACTGGAATTCAATTAGATTACATTCTACTTGACTGGATAAAACGGTGAAATGAGCATCTGAAGTAAGCTGTAGATGGATTATCTTTCGTAATTTTTTGGTAGTCCCTCTTTTACTGTCTGCAAGTAAGTATTCTTGGTTACAGTGTACACAGTTACATATTTTTTTTTTTTGGCGCTGTTGCCGGGGATTATTTACTTTTACTGTTTTTCAATTTCTATTCCCAGCTCTAGACCTTGTTAGTATTCAAGCTTCTTTGTTTATTGCTCACAATTTTCCTATGCTCTATTCTTATGTATTAGGTGCTTTACCACTAGGATGAATGCCTCCAACATCTTGCCCCACTACATCAAAATCGACAGACACAAAAAAAATCTAAAGGTTAAAAAGACAACTAAGTATCACTGAAGAGGAAGCCGCTCTTGAAGCTCAACGAATCCACGAAGACGCTCTTCGTGACAACAACCAGCAACCACGAGTTGCAGGAGAAGGGTAGCAATATGATGAATATGGAAACCCTATCAGCCGAGAAGCCGCCAATGAGATAGATGGAGAAGAATATCCACGTTTGCCACAAAACAGACAAGAACCTCTTATGAGGGCAGGTGAAAACCAAGCCAACCCGGCTATCCAACAGGGAGATAGAGGATTATGGCCTGTTGATGTAAGACTCAAAGACTGGATAGCTCCAAGTTATACACTCTTGAATCGAACCTTTGAAGCTAAGGAGGTGGGCGAATGGTTGATGATTTGTATAGCCAGTTGTACTGATTCTACAATACATGGTTTAAGACTTAGACTTCTCAAGAGCTAATCCTCACAAGAGAAAGAAAGAGACTTCACGAAATGAGAAGGGCTTGATTCCACAAACTTTTACAACTCGCATGAACAGATTTGATGCAAATAGATTTTCTTTGAAACAAAATAAATAATTTTAATTGGTAATTTCTTGGTTGATTTACAATGAATAATTGAGAAAGCTTATAAAGAGCTGGACCAAGACTATTTTAAAACATTAAAAGAGAACATAAATCAACATAAATGATATATAAATCAATATGAATGATAGATCAATCAAAGGAATGATGGATATGGTCTTTATTGCTCGATTGTTGGCCAAATGAGAAAGACTTGAAGGTTCTTTGTATCTGGACAACTTGGACATGAAGTGATGACGCCTTGGAATATTTTGGATGAATAAAATAGTTTCCAAGTAGGCTGGGTCGAATAAATCAAACAGATATATCCATTGTACCATATTTGATGTAATTGGCTCCGGATATGGCAAGTTTAGTTGTGGAGTGATTCGACTGATCCTCTTCTTTCTGGTGCATGGTGGGACGTCATTGATAGCTTCTAAGTGATTAGGACAGTTTCCTGGTCGCCACACATAAGTTTGACAAGTGCTAAACCGATCATGAATAGAACTTGTCCGGAATAGAATCAACTTGACTCGTTTTGGGAGATTAAGCATAACTTGAGAACCAGGTGGGCATATCTTCGTATCTTGGACTTGATGGAACCAGGAGAGACCCAGTAATAATCTCCAAGAGGTCTCGGGTTGAGGAAGTTGCTGAGTTGGGCTGTGCAGCTCGATATCTGGCCTAGTCGCGTAGTTGACTCCAAAAAAATTCAACCGACTTCTAGGATAACTTCCAAGACTGAACCGGAATTAATATGAATCCAATTGGAGGAGCTTCTCCGTTTGACCAAGATTTTATAACAATTCAGTTTGTAGCTTCGTTCCTCCCGGTCTGGTCGGAATCCTCCATTCAAATTTAATGCACATATGTCCAATTCGGCTAAGCTCGAGATCATCGGTTTTGTAAGGTAAATAACTTCTTCATCATAATCTTGATTTGGATGATTAAATTTGGACGTGAATCCTTGTTGAATTAAGCTTCTGTAACAGGTTGATTTGTTCCTTAACTCCTTCTGGTTAGCTAGAGCTTTTTAAGCTCTGATACCAATGATGTAAGACTGGATAGCTCCAAGTTATACACTCTTGAATCGGACCTTTGAAGCTAGGGAGGTGGGCGAATGGTTGATGATTTGTATAGCCAGTTGTACTGATTCCACAATACATGGTTTAAGACTCAGACTTCTCAAGGGCTAATCCTCACAAGAGAAAGAAACAG